GGGAGGGTAGAACAGGTGAAGGCACACAAAGCGCAGGTGCGGGGTGAAAGCGCATCCTCCGCGTACAGCAGCAGTGAGGGGTAAAGAGTAGCCACGGTGAGAAGCGATCATGCCAAGCACTCCTTCAAAGCTTGGTGTGAGGCGTCCATTAGGAGAAACGATGTCTCAGGTAACCAATCCTCTCTTTTACGGCTTAACGACCAACGAAGTCGGCAAGCGCAGGTGTACTTCGCAGGCTGCGCAAGGTAACACACACACACACACGGAGAGAACCCCCCCCACAAAGGTATCACAGCCACCTCCTCCTTCGTTTGCTAGAAATAGAATTCCCTACGGCAACACCTGGAAAGATGAAACTAGAGGGGAGCACAAAACAAAAGATCCACTGTTACACGCCGTAGAAACACCCGCCCCGCGCAAAAGCAAACAAAACAAACACACGTTTCGTCTGAAAGGAAAGGAGAGAGGGGGAGAAAAGAGTCGAGGAGCACCGTGCGCATTTCCACGGAGGCAATGCGGAAAAGACACCTCTCAAAAAGAAAAACGAAGATTACTACCGTGCTTCCCGTTTTTCCTTTTCCTTTTGAAAGGAGTCGCGGTGTGGTCGCGTACGTTGTACGTGCGTTAGCGGGAGCTTTCTCGCCCGTAAATTAGCGTGAAAAAACCAAACAAACAAAGAAATAAAGAAAAACGGGTTAACACAAGCATGTCTCTCTTTTTATTGTTATTGCGCCGGATGCGGCTTCAGGAACTGGTAGGAGTTCTCCTGCCCGTCTTTCGCCGCCCCGTCCACGCCAAGCGCGCAAAGCACGTCGTCGTACGCGGCCTCCGCACACTGCACGTAGTGGCCGTCGTACACGAAGTTCGGCAGCAGCGACGGCACCTGCACCAGGCGGAAGTACTCCGAGTTGCGGCACAGCTCCTCGGCCCGGCCGTCGCAGGTCACCGGCGAAGACGGGCACTCGTCAACGCTCTCGTCCTTCGCATCGCCGGTTGTATTCCCGGCCGTGGCCGCAGCAATCGAGGCGCGTTTGCGCAGCAGCTGCTGCCGGTCGTGCGCGTTCGCATGACGCAGCTTTGTGGCCTCCATCCAACCGAAGAGGTGTGTCCACCGCGTCTCACTCGGCAGCTCGACCGGCTCCTGCACGAGACCGCACCGCGCCACCGCCGCCGCGTCCAGCGTGAAGGCCGCCGCGAAGACGAGGTCGTCGCGTGGAATGCGGTAGGCCCCGGCGACGGAGGCCGTCTCCGCCGAGGCGACAAAAAAGCGCTGCACGTAGGCGTAGAGCTGCTCCTGCGGCAGCTCCGTTGCGTCCGCCGTGAAGTGCACGATACAGGCGTCTCCGCCGCCTGACGTTTCGCGCGACGGGGCCTGGTCGGAGGCAAAGGACTGCTGCATTACCCAAACGACCGCCTGTGTGTCCGGCTCTCGCACCAGGGCCGTCAGCACCGGCGCCGCCGCCGTGTAGTCGCGACTCTCCTCCACTTCCATGACCTTTGCCGCCGACAGCGCCGCCCAGGAGAAGAGCGGCACCGTCTTGGAGGCGAGTACCACACGGCTGAAGCGCACGGCAGACGTGGACAGGTCCGAGGAGCTGCTCGGCGGGTCCGCCGACACGAACGAGGCAGCCGTGGCGCCGGCAGCCTCCAGCGGGATCAACGGAGCGCGGCCGTGTTCGTGCTCCCGCAGAACATCGTAATACCAGTCCTGCACGTTGTAGGTCAGGTAGGACGTGGTCAACTCGCTCGGCGCCACGATGACCTTGGCGGGCACCCACTGTCCGTTGCTCAGCACGGCGTACTGGGTTTCCCTTTCTTCATCCACGGCAACGCCGCGCAGGCTGCGTCGGAGCACGAAGACGCCGCCCCACACGGCAGAGACACGACACATGTTTTGCGGCATCTCCGCCGCACCGTAGGACGTCGTCAAGTACGGCGACTTGCCGTCGAAGGCACCGGTGGAGAGGAGCAGGTCGCGCTCCATGTCGACAGACTGCACGAGAGGTGGCTGATGCTGCTGTTGCTTCGGGGCACCAGCCGCTTCCGTTGGCGCCGGCAGCACGTCCATCATGCCCATCAGCGAGACCACATCCAGAGCGACTCCGGTAAGGGCGTACTTTTTCTGTAGTAGCTCCTCCAGAGTGACGTGCGGATCCGCCGCCGCCGCCTTCGCGAATATGGCTGCCGCCGCTGCTGCTGCCGTCTCCGCCGCGACGGAGGTGTTCGCGTAGGCTGGGTCGTCCGCAGGGTTGGCGGTCTTGGCGTGCAGCTGCTCCGCCACTGACGCCTCAACGTCCTTCACGAAGCGCATCATGCGGCGCTTGTCAAGCAGGTTCACGGCCGTGTTGCCGAAGACGCTCGCCCGGGTAAGCGGCACCTCCATCGCCGTCGTGGCGGCGGAGTTGCTGTTGTGCGCCAGGAAGAGGAAGCGTGCAACGTGCTGGCACTCGAGCGAGGCCGTCATGCCGGCTGCGGTAAGCTTCCGCAGCAGCGGTCCACGGGCCAGGTAGGACATCGGCAGGACATCAAACAGGTACCGGCGGCGGCACGCAGCAGGGAGTTCGGACATACGGTTGATCGCCACGATAGGGGCAGGAACAGGAGCAGCAGCAGGAGCGGTAGCAGAGGCGTGCGCCTCCAAATACCCCACAAAGGCCACATCTTCCAAGGTGGCCATCGCCGCTCCGTAGTGATCTTCGCCGTCGCAGTGAAGCACCTTTAGCCCATTCCGGGCAAGGGCGGCGGAAAGGATCGACTGCACCATCCCTGTCCCCTGCAGCACGACGTCGAAGCGCAGGTTTACGTCTAGCCCGTGTCCCGCAGCGTCGTAGCGGCGGGTGATCTTATAGCATTTCACTGGCTGACGCACCTCTTCTGGGCCGCGGTCTTCTGGAAACATCATCGGATAGTTCTGCTCATCGATCTGCACGTACTGCAGGCCGCGGCGCACACACTTGTCGAAGAACTCCAGGTCATGCAGCTGCATGTGCGCGCGATGGTGCGAGAAGACGCAGTAGGCGGCGGCCTGCGAGTTCTTTGCGAGCAGGGTGGCCAGCGTATCGGCCAGGGCATCGTTGCAGACGTGGTTAAAGAGAATATCGGAGAGGATGACGATGTCGTAGCCGGCCCCACCTACCGTGTACTGCATCACCTTCTCAATGTGCTCCTGCTTACCCCACAGAAGTGGCTCCACAATGCAGCGAGTCTGCACAGCAGCGCGCAGCTGCTCCGGCGTCGGCTCGCGGCCGTCTTGGGCGAGGCGCGTCTTCAGCTGACTCTCCATCTCCGCCCTTACATCAGCGTCCACGTCGCCAGCCGCGCAGTTCGCCTCCACGTTCAGCGCAATAATATCCAGCAGATCCGCATCGGGGTAGTCCGTCACGACGCTGAGCCGCGCCCCGTTTTTGAAGGCGGCGAGCGTCGGCACGCCGAGCCCCGCGCCAAGCTCAATCACGGCCTTGTTGCGCACGTCGATGAGGCGCTCGTCCATGCGCTTCACGACGTACTTCGCCGCGTTCCACAGCTTGTGTCCCCACAGGCTATGGCGCTTGTCGCGGAACTTCACCTCCAGCGCGGGCGGCGCCGCGGCGACCAGACGCTCCCGCAACTGCGCCAGCTCCGCCGGGGCGGCTTCGGCGGAGGTGATGTGATCGAAGTGGGTCAGGAGAGGTTCGAAATAGTCGTAGGTGAAGCCTTCGGAGGCGAGGGCGAGGCGGTTGACGGAGAGGGTCTGCAGCGGGTATTCTGGCACCTCCTCGGCGCCGCCGAATAGGTCACCGAAGCCTTCGTCGTCCGACATGTGCTACTTTAGCTTTCCTCCTACTTGCTTTCGTATATAGTTATGCCAAAAGATCCCACCTCCAGCAGAGAAGAGAAGACTTCACTGTGAAGAAACGCAGATGATTAAGATGGGATAGAAAAAAAAAAACAAGCGTTTTGGTTCTCGCAGAAATACCTCGTCGTGGCAATCAAAAAGAAGAAAAGATAAAAAAGAGAATCGTTGCCACTCGCACAGAAGCGTATGCGCCTCTTCAGCATCAATAATAGGAATAGTACTCGTAAAAAGAGTAGTAGTGAGAAGCACAGAAGAAGATCTCCGCGAGGCGTTGCCCGTCCACGTACGGGGGAAGCCGCAGCGCCGAAAGTCCGATGAGTCAGACAACAGCAGCAACAAGCGAGAAGGAGTGCATACGGTGCTGGGAAGAAGAGATCGGAAGAGAGGTGGAAGGGGAGGCAGAACGAAATACAAATTTGCACGTATAGGAACTGGGCTGCAGATACATATCTCCCCCCCAAAGGGCCGTCTTTTGCTTCTTCTTCAGTGGCTCATGTCAAAGAGAAGTCCCCACAAGGGAAAGAACGGGGTTTTTTTCCTTTCTTTATTCCCTTTGCTGTGCGCAGGTGTTCTCTTTGAGGTCAGGGATTGTCTAACACGGAAAGAAATCACAACACAGAACATAATAATAAAACAGTCTAGAAGATGTACGAAAGAGGCGGGTGGGGCATCCGCAGCACCCACGTAAACGAGTATATAAGGTGTTGGCCTGGCAACCCTCTCCGCCATCAATGGCCTCGCCTTCTACGTGCTGAGAGGAAACAGGAAAGGGCAGAGGTATTCGTCTACAACTGCACACAGCACCAACTCCCTTTTCACCTCTCCTTTTGTTTTCCATCCCACTGTCGAGTCTCACGCAGGCGTAAGGAGCGACTTGAACCTTTCCTCCCACGCCCTCATGCGAGCAAGGGGAGAAGAGCTTTCACTGGGGCTTACAACATGCGGTGTGCGGGACGCACTACGGCGCACCCTCTGCTGCGCTGACACGCCCGCACCGTTCCTGCGTTGTGCAGCGTCGTCCGCTAGGAGCGAGGGCTGCACCACGTGCATAGGAAATCCTTTGTCACCCACCACCGCCGTCTCGCGCATCACTGGATCGTTCGTATCGACCGCGCGTGCGTGTGATGCGACTTCCTGTATCGACCCTGGCTTCTCCGCATTCTCCAACGGGGAGTAGCTTAGGGAACGACGAGGCGTAGCGACATCGACGGGCGCGTCTCTCGTCCCGGTTCCCACGGCCGCCGCTATTGCCTCCACGCTCGGCGCGGCATTGCTGCTGTGGGCGCCATCTTCCGTGCTGCACAAGGCGCGTTCCGGTACAGGAGACGGCGGTGCGTCGCCGCTATTGTTGTTGCCGTGCAATAACGCTTCGAGTGTTGCAGGAGATGCGGCGGTAGTCGCGACTCGAGCGGAGCTGCCCACGCCTCCACTCACGGACCCACCTTCGCTCGTCGCCGGCTGCCCTGTCCACGGCCTGCGCGGCGCCGCCGCTGTCGATTCCGTCCGCGTTGGCAGCAACGAAGCATCAGCTAGTCTGTGATGCTCGTTCTGACTCCCTTTCTCCCTTTCCTCCTTCGCCGCCATGCTTTGCCGCTCGAAGGACGGCCCGCGCAGCTGCCGTACCTCGAGACGATGCCGTAGTACCGCGCACTCCTGCGCGCAGGCGTCGCGCGCGACTTCCGCTGTCTCAACGCGTGACCGCCACTGCGCTTCGCGCTCGGCGTGGAGGGCGCAGTCGTGCTCCGCCGCACTGACGCGTCGGGCAGCCTTCATCATCTCCTGCGCTAGTTCGTCCCGCACCTGCTCCAGCTCCGCTGCGTGTGCCTGCGTTGATCGGCGTAGAAGCCGCTCCTGCGCCTGCAAGGCCGCCTCGTTGTCCTCTTGCTGCTGCTTCAGAAGCGCCTCTGCGGTGGTGGCAGCGGCGTCGTGGCGCGTCGTTTGCTGAGCCACAGACACCCGCTGCGCACTTTGATCACTTCCGTGTCCCTCAGCTCGTGGCGGGAGAGCGTGGAGAGACGCGTGCGTGCTGCGTGCGTCTTGCTGCTGCTCTTGCTGCCACTCATCCCTCACCCGGCTGCCGACCACGACAACGTCGTCCACGCACGTGAGAAGTAGGTCATCCAAGTACCCCATCGCGTCGCACAGACGTGCGAGCTGCTGCACGAGGGGCTCCCTTCTCGCCGACGCCACCGCGGTAGAGTAGCCGCGGTGGCCGACCTGGCGTGAGGAGGAAAGGGATTGTAGAAGAAGCCGTGTAAAGTGTCGGTGTTGCTCGTCCTCCGGTTGCGCATCGCACGATACACCTTCTTCCTGCGGATGGCCGAGGCCGTCCGTGTTGACCGCGGCGTCGCAGCAACGACGCAGCTCTGCAACGTGCTCTAAACAGCGAAGAAGTGCCTGCACAACATCTACCACACAGAGCTGAATACGCGCTGGCGTGTCGCATTCGTCGTCGTCATAGGTCTCCGCGTTGTGAGACGGAGCATCCTCTGCGGATGGAGTTCTCGTGGAGGCCGCCACAGCAGCTGTTGTCTCCTTCACCGCATGCTGCGCCGCCGCGAGAGAGGCGGAAAGGGCAGCATTCCTTTTCGTGAGTTCGCCCACACGACGCCGCAACTCGTCCAGCTGGGCATGATTGCCGTCGTTATCGGAGGAGTTGCGCCTTCTCCCTCGCGAGGACGCTGCGGAGGAGACCGATGAAAACGATGACGACGCCGACGCCTGCGGTTGCCGTCTCGCCAGCACCCGCTGCTGCTTGTCTAACAGCTGCCGTATGACGGCCTCCGACGTGGCCTGCGCCGCCGCAAAGTCCGCCGCAAACTTTTCCTTTATCACCCGCTCCCGCTTCAGGCTGCACCCCTCCATCTGCAGGGCACGCTGCCGCCAATACTGCAGCTGCTCTTCGAGTTCGAGGACGTGGTAGTGCTCCACCATAGCCAAGCTGTGAGACGCATCATCGCTCCCCACGCGACGCACAGCAGGTGCGTCGTTTGCTTGTTCCTCTTGAGGAGGGGTTGTGGACATACCCTCCCAGCCATTTGTTGCCGTCTGGGTTCGAGGTGCAGCACTCGGTCGCCAGTGGGAGACCGGAACGTGGAGAGGTGCGTCCCGGGCTGCGTACGCCGTCCTCCATGGCAGATTGGCCCTTCGCGTGTCGGCCAGCACCTCGGAGTAGAACAGCGGAGGAGGACGGCGCAGCCGCTCACCCAAAGAAGCCAGCGTGGGGCATGCCGGTGCGAGAGCCGACACGTCAACGTCCGGGGAAGAAGCGGTGTAATTCGGCCTGTGAACCGCAGCTTTGCGGTGGTCATCGTCATCATCGTCGGACGACTCGCCGCGGTGGGTGTGGGGATGTCGCCACGGTGGCCGTTGGCGCTCGTTACGGCAGCCGACGCCTCGCATAAGGACAATGCAGAAAAAATGATGCGCAGGAGCGACAACAGCACTAAACAAGCAGGCAGACCGAAGCGGGGGTTTTGCTATTTGCTGAACAGAAGAAAAACAAATGCCTTTACTCTTCTTATTTTTCTGGCCACGGCGACAGGCCCAGCGTTGTCGCGGTTCGTATCTGCCGCTCACCTGCCTCCCTTCGCCTTTTTCCCTTCGAATGACAGACACGATGCCCTGAAAAAAAAAAAACGAGGAGGAATGAGATGGGGAAGAGAAGAAGAACACGAAGAACCAAAATAACAACAGAGAAGCGGTGATTAGCACCACTTATATGGAAAGAGAGTGTCGTTCCGATCATCGTGCGATCACCCCACCCACCCACCCTCCCTTCCTTCCTTCCATAGAGGAAAGTCACCGCACAGCGTTTACGCCGACCCAATGTAGTTGCGGCATTCATCGTCAACCCGCAAGCCACGCGATGTATGCATCGACATGACAGCAGTAGTGCATGCAAACAAAAGAACACGCGAAGAGGCGCTTTAAAAGGAAAAAAGGTACACACATTGATACACATGTTTTGTATTCAGTTAACCTATCACTGCAAGAAGTCGCCTACACACACACCTACACACACGTATGCATGAAAACGTAGATGTCTACGTACGAACGAAAGTAGCATTACTAATCTATCGAGCAACCAGCGTTCGCTGGCACAAAGAATAATGCAGGGGGGGGGGAGGGACAAAAAACATAGGAGAAGCGATGCGCTAAAGAAAAGCAGGTTGCAGAACAGATTACAACAACAAAAAAAGAGCCTCCAGCGGTACGCGCTTGAAACCTTTAATCAATGCATAACTTAAGAAAACTGCAGAGAGAGAGCAGCACGGAAAACCAAGGGAAGATGGAGACTCACACGCACCCGTACTCGGGAACACCTCCTCCGCGTGAGCAGTTGCCCGCTCGTCGTCGTCTCGAAGTGTGTCCGTAGCGATCTACAAAGCAACGCACACACACACACACACACATACACCCCGTGGGGGCACCATGAAGAGAGACGTACTGCGGCGCTCTCGACGCTCATCGCCGAAACGTGATCAGCTTCTGATCTCCGCACCCACGCGTGTAGTACAGCCACACCGCAGTCATCACAATACAGGCGGCAATCACGTCTTGCCCCGTCAGCGCTTCTCCAAGCAGCGCCGCAGCCGCCACAGCCGTCAGCAGAATCTCAATAGCGCTCGCGAACGCCTTCACAATGACGTTGATGAACTTCAGGATGAAGGCCGCGGAGAGACCGGTGGCGGCGCCGAAGAAGACAATCAGCAGAAAAAGAAGCGCACCGATGTGCGCGGGTCCGCTGTCCGTCTGCGGTCCTCCGCCGGCCGGGCCCACCGCTGTCGTCGTCGTCGTCGTCGCACCCCCTGCTGCGGAGAAGGGGCTCGTGACGATGGACGGGTCCGCCATCACGCCAAACGCGGCGTTGAAGAAGAGGGCGTAGAGGTACATGAAGAAGTTCTGCTGGTGAATGGAGAGGTGGCGCCCCTTCTTGAAGGCGTACTCGTTGAACACGCCCGCCGCGGAGGACAGAAAGGCCTGAAACAGTACAAACAGAATGTGGCTGTCCACCTGCAAGGTGTGGGGGGAGAAGTACTTGCTCGCCACGCCGACCATCAGCAAGATCAGCGCACCCCACTTGCGCAGCGACAGCGCCTGATGGAGCAGGATGCTGAAGAGGACGCCGGTGAACAGAATGCGCATCTGCATGAAGACTTGGTAGGTGCCGGCGTCGAAGACGTTGAGGTTGATAAAGGTGAGGTTGTTGTACACGGCGTAGAGAAAGGAGGGCACGGCGTACGGCAGCCCCTCGCGCCACAGCGCGCGCCGGTGCGGACTGCAGAGCATCGTGGCAGGGAGGAACTCGCCGTCCTCGCGGTACTTCAGCGCCACCGACACCACCAGCTTCGTCACTTCAATACAAAACACAACAACGGCGTTGTTGTATACAAGGCGCTCGTTCTTGGAGTAGCGGATCAGCAGGAAAAAAAAACATGCTGGTCAGTGTGTAGGTGGCGGCCAGGCCGAAGCTCTGGAGAAGCGGCAGCGTGCTGTCCGTGGCGGCCGGTGCCGGTGCCGTGGTGGGAGCGCCTGGGTCGGAGGGCACCCTGACGGCGCTGCTCAGCAGACCCGCTTGCTCCTCTACGCCGCGCTTTGCAGAGTTGCTGCGCTCGTGGCCGTCGTCTCCCTCGAGCAGTGCTGCGTCTTCACCCTTCTTGTGCGCGTAGGCGGCCATCCGTAGAGCTAGCTAATGTTCACTTCTACTTGGAATCCACTGGAGAAGAAGGACTATCGAGGCAATCATCCATACAAAGAGAGGAGGGGGAAGGCGGGGAGGAGTACGGAAGAAGCGTGGGGTGACCTATGCAGCGGCAGCAACGTGAGCGTTGGCAAGTCTCCGCAAGAGTGCCTCCGTGAACGTTTGCTTCCTCAAGAAGGCAGAAAGAACTCGCAGTTCAGAGAGCAAGAGGAGGCGGATCAAGCCTCGCGCAGCACGAACGGCAGCAACGAAACGAAAGGAGGGAGTTAGGTGATACGAGGGAGTGGGAGCTTGATGTGCTGCTTGAGGGCAGCGGAGAGAGAAAGAGAGGCAGAAAGTGGTCGCAGCGCTTGAAACGACGCAGACGGAGGACGGAGCAGAAAAGTTTGGAGAGGGTTGCGAGGAGGATCGTGGCACGAAGCACGCCGAGATGCCCACTAAGCCAAGAGGGGGAGGGGGGGGGGGAAGCAGAACAACGCGCGTCTCCCTTGCCGACCTGCGGGCTGATCCAAGCCGTCTCGGACAAGGAGCAGACAAAAGAACCAGAAGTGTGCGCCTGACGACAGCTCTTATCAGGAAAGAGGACGAAACAACACTCCCCCCCCTACCTGTTGATTCTTAAAAGAAGGCACAACGGGGCTGCTGCCGCACCCATGCCCACAAAGCGAATAACTAAATGTGAAGAAGAGAAGAAAAGACATCAGTGTTTCCCATTCAGGCTGCTACCGGAAGGAGCGAATTAACAATGCCTGTGAATGTATAGTAGTAACACAAACATAGAGTTGCTATTATCCACCAGCCCAGCACAGCAGCCCACCACTAACAACAACCGTCGCTTTCTTTCACCTTGTTTTCCCCACCCTTGAGGCCACACTCTCACACACACACTAGAGAAATTTAACGACCCAATCACCGTAGACCCGTCTCGCCGCGGCCGCAGCACCTGCGTCTCCTTCACGTGCCACGCTGGGCGGGCACAGCTGCACGGAATGCGCGTTCAGCAGCAGCACCACAAAGAGCATTTCTGCCGCCATCTCCACCCCATACTCGTGCGCCCACAGTGTGATGATGCTCAGCTGACGCACCGTCATGGGCCCCGCCGCCACAACGGCAGCAAAGCGCTCCGCCGTAGCTCGCAGGCGACCGCGCACTGTAAGCGTCGTCATGGGACACACGAGAACGTATGGCTCCTCCTCCGTCTCCAGCCAAAAAGGATTGGACGGCGACGTCGCTGTGGACGTCCCTTCTCGCCGTTCCACCAAGTGCTTTGCTCGTAGGTCGATCAATACTTCTTCTGGCGTGCGACTCCACGTCGGGAGCACCTCAACGTACCGCAGCGGGTACCCACGGAAAGAGGAAGGGACCGCATTCGGTTCCACAGACAGTTGTTTGCGTGCTGAACCGGGACGTGCGTGCGGCAGCACCCGCAGACACAGCACCTCCACCACCCGCTCATCCGATAGGGGAGGATGACGTACCACATCCCCTTCCTCCGCGAAGCTGTCGCGCACACGTTCACCCATCGAAGCACTCCGCGAGGTGAAGTCGGCATTTGGCAGTTCGCCGTCCGGTGAGTCTGAGGACGCGCTTAGCGCCAAGAGCGCGTGCCGCACCTGCTGCTCCGCTTTCCTTCGTTCGCCATCGTTAGGACTACTATTGCTGCCGTTGCTACTGCCGCTGCGGTGGCCGAATAAGCTCGAGCACTGTGTGGTGGCCAAAATGCGCTGCCGCACGCCGGCCGCCATGCGGTGCACCGTCGGGTTCGCGCCCATCACGAGCAGGAAATAGAAGAAGGAGCGGTAGATGCCGGCGTGATAGATGGACAGGTTCCATCGCAGCATCGTCGACAAGCGGGCCACTGAGATCGGCACCGCGACGACGTGGCGAAATAGGTTCTGTAGAAGCCGCAGATTGGACCGGTAAAGCTCCCCACTGGGCTGCCGCAACGTCGCGTGCTGCGAGAGGAAAAAGCCGTACATGCCATCCGCGGCCGCCAGCTCGTTCGCGTATTGCTGCAGCAGCGGCGAGCCCTGCGTCCCTTCATTCCAGCCCATGGCAGGGAAGGCCTTCGCCGCCGCCCTGTCACTATCCATCAGCGCCGGGGCCTCGCCCATGACACGCACATACGCGGACTGAGAAATAAAGTAGTCCACTAAACGATGGCCGGATGTGCCGGTCAGATCCGGTGGTGACGCCACCGGGGTCGTCGCCTCGCTTTTACTTCTCTCCGCTTTTGACGTCGCGGCTGCCTCCGCGGTGGGCTTTTGGGAGGAGAAGGCGTCGTAGATGACGTACTCCGCATGCGCCAGCGTCCACGGCGGGCGCCCAGCAGCTCCGTCCAGCCAAACAAAGTTCGATGTGTGCGTCGTCGTCACAGGAGCAGCAGCAGCAGCAGCAGCCGCCGCCGCAGCAGCAGGGCTGCTTGTAGTGGTGGGAGGTGATGGGGATGACACCCGATGCGAGAGGTACGCGTGGGTGCCGTCTTTCGGTGGCGATGCGGCTGCTGTGGTGGTGGTGGTGGCTGCTGCGCTTCGCATAGACCTTGCGGGCCAATGCAACGCGTAACACTCCCTCAGCCGATCCACGTCCTGCATGCGGGTGGAGGTGGCCAGCAGCAGGGACGGCAGCGTTGGGTAGCACACCGCCCCGCCGTAGCCGGAGACACGAAACTCAGGATCGCAGAAGAGGATATGGAGGAGCATCCACTGGTCCACGTCGTGACTGGCAGGGACATCCTCGCCGCCATGGGCATCCGCGGTCTGCACAGCGGAGGCCTCCTTCGCAGGGGCAACGCCGACGGATGCTGAAGAGTGCTGCTCGCCGGCCGTAAGCAGTGCGGCGACGAGAGGCACAATGCTATCACGATACGCCGCGGCAAACTCCCTGCCAATGCGGCTCAGCTCGTCCGCCGAAATTTCATGCTCGCACGCGGTATCGTGGTCTGACGGTGGTGTGCTGCGCACCTCAGCCGTGGTCGCTTCCGTGTTGCACGCGACATGCGGAGCTGCTTGCCGAAACGTGTGGGAAGTGTAGAGCTGTACGGCGTGCGAGGCACACGCAAACATCTTTGCCGTTTCTGCGTCGACGACAGTGTTGAACAGCGTGAAGAGGGCACTGGGCCGGAGAGGCTCCGGCGAGAGCAGCACCAGCTGGACCAGAACAGACCGAAGGCGGGCGCGCAACACGAGCGGGGTGATGCATTGCATATTTTCCTTCGAGAAAACGAACGGTGGTGGTGGCGGCGGCGGCGCTGACGCTGGAACGCCAGCTTTCGCATCTTTCCGCGATGACAGCGGCAGCGGCGGCGATGCATTTGCTTTCTCCAACGCCTGCGCCGATGTGTGCAGCGTCGAGGGCGGCGTTGCAGGTGTGGGGGAGGGGACGGCGGATCTTGCATCTCCCTTGCGAAGCGTCTTCCGTGGCCTTTTCGTTGTTTTACGAAGTGGGCGAGCCACCGCCTTTCTGCATATCTGCGTCCCCGACCCCCAACACTGAAGGGAGCAACACGACAACCGCAGCATCGTCCCGTAGGCGGCGGCGGCGGCGGCGGCGGCGGGGAGAGAGAGACGAAAAGGAAAGGAAAGACGGCTGCCTCACCTCTTGGTTTCTTCTTCTAATGTTGAGTGCCGCAGTGAATCTATAGATGCTGCTCACACGTACCCTGCCTCCCTCTCTCTCTCTCATTCAGTGCGTGCGTGCGCTGACACGATTACGTCTTCCAAAGAGACAACAAAAAGGGCAGAGAAGCCAAACGCCACCTTCGGCTCATCCATCACACGACAGAGGGTTTGTAACTCACACACACACAAAGAAAACAGGGGAAGAAAAAAGAGTTGCGTGGATCGACGGGGCCTAGAATGAAGAATGCACCTCTGAGCACGACAATTGAATGGCATGGGCACGTTGGTGCGTGTCTGAAGGGTTCGCTTCCCTCTGCCTCTCCACGGAGCGGTCTTAAGGCGACTCTGCTTTCTTTCCTTCTTCCGCCCCCCACTTCCTACGCCAGGAGGGAGCGTGAAAGCGGCAGAGAGAGCCTACGAGCTGCAACTCCACGGCGGAGGAAAAACACAGCATCACAGGCGGCGGTGGATTCTTCAAGGCGTTCGCACCGACACACACGCAAGGAGAGGATCGCTGTGCATCTTAATGTCGTGTGTACACACGCATTCGCTACCAGCGACAAGCCAGTCGACTCACTAGGTGAGAAAAGCAAACGATCGACCGCGGTTATCATTCCACGAAAAGAAAAAAAAGATAATGTCTCAACTTAAGCCTTCTCACCGGTGTGTGTGTGTGTGTGCATCGTCACCAATCGAAGACTATCAACTGTACCGGAACAGTCCATTCAATTTTTTTTTGCAGGCCAAGTACATCTGCCCTTCTCAACGCAAACACACACACACACACACACACACAACAGCGACCGCTGACACGCAGAAGAACACCGTAACGGCGGAACAGGCGTATTCCGCGAAAAAACGAAAATCCAAGACGACGAGCAGCACCAGAAAAGGCCATCCTCGGTACGCGCATGAGAGAGAGCATCAAGCAATGCAGATTCTAAATGAACTGCAGAGAGAGCAGCACGGAAAACCAAGGGAAGATGGAGACTCACACGCACCCGTACTCGGGAACACCTCCTCCGCGTGAGCAGTTGCCCGCTCGTCGTCGTCTCGAAGTGTGTCCGTAGCGATCTACAAAGCAACGCACACACACACACACACACATACACCCCGTGGGGGCACCATGAAGAGAGACGTACTGCGGCGCTCTCGACGCTCATCGCCGAAACGTGATCAGCTTCTGATCTCCGCACCCACGCGTGTAGTACAGCCACACCGCAGTCATCACAATACAGGCGGCAATCACGTCTTGCCCCGTCAGCGCTTCTCCAAGCAGCGCCGCAGCCGCCACAGCCGTCAGCAGAATCTCAATAGCGCTCGCGAACGCCTTCACAATGACGTTGATGAACTTCAGGATGAAGGCCGCGGAGAGACCGGTGGCGGCGCCGAAGAAGACAATCAGCAGAAAAAGAAGCGCACCGATGTGCGCGGGTCCGCTGTCCGTCTGCGGTCCTCCGCCGGCCGGGCCCACCGCTGTCGTCGTCGTCGTCGTCGCACCCCCTGCTGCGGAGAAGGGGCTCGTGACGATGGACGGGTCCGCCATCACGCCAAACGCGGCGTTGAAGAAGAGGGCGTAGAGGTACATGAAGAAGTTCTGCTGGTGAATGGAGAGGTGGCGCCCCTTCTTGAAGGCGTACTCGTTGAACACGCCCGCCGCGGAGGACAGAAAGGCCTGAAACAGTACAAACAGAATGTGGCTGTCCACCTGCAAGGTGTGGGGGGAGAAGTACTTGCTCGCCACGCCGACCATCAGCAAGATCAGCGCACCCCACTTGCGCAGCGACAGCGCCTGATGGAGCAGGATGCTGAAGAGGACGCCGGTGAACAGAATGCGCATCTGCATGAAGACTTGGTAGGTGCCGGCGTCGAAGACGTTGAGGTTGATAAAGGTGAGGTTGTTGTACACGGCGTAGAGAAAGGAGGGCACGGCGTACGGCAGCCCCTCGCGCCACAGCGCGCGCCGGTGCGGACTGCAGAGCATCGTGGCAGGGAGGAACTCGCCGTCCTCGCGGTACTTCAGCGCCACCGACACCACCAGCTTCGTCACTTCAATACAAAACACAACAACGGCGTTGTTGTATACAAGGCGCTCGTTCTTGGAGTAGCGGATCAGCAGGAAAAAAAAACATGCTGGTCAGTGTGTAGGTGGCGGCCAGGCCGAAGCTCTGGAGAAGCGGCAGCGTGCTGTCCGTGGCGGCCGGTGCCGGTGCCGTGGTGGGAGCGCCTGGGTCGGAGGGCACCCTGACGGCGCTGCTCAGCAGACCCGCTTGCTCCTCTACGCCGCGCTTTGCAGAGTTGCTGCGCTCGTGGCCGTCGTCTCCCTCGAGCAGTGCTGCGTCTTCACCCTTCTTGTGCGCGTAGGCGGCCATCCGTAGAGCTAGCTAATGTTCACTTCTACTTGGAATCCACTGGAGAAGAAGGACTATCGAGGCAATCATCCATACAAAGAGAGGAGGGGGAAGGCGGGGAGGAGTACGGAAGAAGCGTGGGGTGACCTATGCAGCGGCAGCAACGTGAGCGTTGGCAAGTCTCCGCAAGAGTGCCTCCGTGAACGTTTGCTTCCTCAAGAAGGCAGAAAGAACTCGCAGTTCAGAGAGCAAGAGGAGGCGGATCAAGCCTCGCGCAGCACGAACGGCAGCAACGAAACGAAAGGAGGGAGTTAGGTGATACGAGGGAGTGGGAGCTTGATGTGCTGCTTGAGGGCAGCGGAGAGAGAAAGAGAGGCAGAAAGTGGTCGCAGCGCTTGAAACGACGCAGACGGAGGACGGAGCAGAAAAGTTTGGAGAGGGTTGCGAGGAGGATCGTGGCACGAAGCACGCCGAGATGCCCACTAAGCCAAGAGGGGGAGGGGGGGGGGGAAGCAGAACAACGCGCGTCTCCCTTGCCGACCTGCGGGCTGATCCAAGCCGTCTCGGACAAGAAAGATAAAGAGGGGAGCTTCTTTTAAGTGCGGTCTCTACTCTCCAAAAAAAGGGAGAAAGAAAAGTTTAGTCGATTAACAGTGCACAGCAGAATCGCTGCGTCGCAAAGATCATGAACACGGGTTACGTCTGGCTTTGGTTTGCGCGCACGGAGAGGCATGCGCTGCGGGAGAGCGGAAACAGTAATGAACAGCCAATACTCCCAAGCCAAATTCAGAGAGCTGGCACACGTAAATAAAAACACGTACGTTTTTCTTCTGCTGTTGGCAGCGCGATACACCGTGGAATGATACAGCATGAGTAGCCTTCCTTTATGCGCACCGCCGCAACGTGGGGTCAGCAGGCTGGCACTTCTTAGCATCCGATAAATAACAAGAAAACAAGAGAAATAATGTAATCAAGGAAATATACTAGCAATATAACGACGGAATGAGATGTACACGCTGCGGCAGCACCCCAGAGTAAGAGTTTGTTTCCGATAAGGACGTGTTGGGTTTCGAACCTGTGCTGACTTAACCGTTGTCTTCCACAATCCTGTGCTATCCCGGAAAACAATAGAAAACAAGTAACGTGAGCATGGTTCAAGAGTGATACGGTAAGCGAAACTGGGCAACGACGACGCCCTACACACACACACACAGCAACATCGGAAAGACGGGGTTGTATGTTCTCACGCGACTACCGCATCGAACAACAACGATAGGTACACCCCCCCCCTCCCCCAAAAACAAACAAACATGCAAAAAACACGCACCAGCAAAGTGGAGAAGAACAACCGTGTTGCGTGGAAAGGGAAGCGAAAAGAAAAGAGAAGGTTAAGTAAAAGCTCGCTGGCAAAAATACAAAAGGAAGGAAGGAAAGAAAGGCCACCGTTCGCGCGGAGACGCGTACTGAAATCGGGAGTACACCACGGAAAGATATGTAGAACAGAAGAAGTACTTCATCTCTTTCTGCTGTTTCGCCTCGTCAGCGGCCGCTGACGGAGCAGCGAAGACAAGTTACAAAAGAACTCGACAGACACCATCAGCAGTCCAAAAACCTCCACTCAGCTTTCATGTACGCGGAACAATAAACAAGCCAACCAACAAAAAACCCAACGTGGAAAAGCTTCCTTTTGATTCCCGTTGCACAGCAGATGGAGGGCGAGAAGCCCCGGCGAGCACCAACGCGACTTCAGACTTCACACAACAACAGCTACCAACCCCTCTTTGCCACCTCGCTGCTGAACCACGCGTAGAAGCAGGACGCAATGGCCAAGATGACGCACACCGCCACCGTCACCGTCAAGCACGACGCGTGCCGTTTGGTGCGGTTGGTCCGAATCAGTTCCTTCTCCACCGGCAGCGCGCCAATCGCGCCGGGCACCATCACCGCCAGGGAGCAGTAGTGGAACAGCGCCGTAATGACAAAGGTGCCTTTGTAGCCGTGGGCGGCCGCGATGTAGCCACCAAAGACCGCGCTGCCAGACCACGTGAAGGAGGAAAAGCTCTCAAAGGCGGACCACTTCGCCCGGTTTTCTTTGCGGACGCAGTCCATAATCACACTGCGCGTCACGCCCGCCGTGGAGTTCATGAGCGCGTTACGGAAGATGTAAATGGGTAGCATGATGTTCAGCGGCAGGGTGGTGGTGCCCATGAGCAGCAGCAACGTCGTGCCGATGAGACGCACAATGATGGTCGACGGCAGCCGTCCTACGTAGAAATCGCCGCCGCGTTGCACCAAGAAGGATATGAGGGCGGTCAAGGGAGAGATCAGCAGCGAGGCGGTGAGTAGCGTGACGGGCGAGGTCTTGTAGTCCTCTACAAAGAAGAGCGACATGTAACGCATCGTCATCCCGGACCCGAAGGCGACCAGGAAGTCGACGAGGCACACGAGGTACGGCACCGCCTCCCACGTGACGATGACACTGGTGAAGTAGGAGACCGTGTAGCCCAGTTGCTTAACGTAGTTGCCGCGGGCGGCGAGTAAGTTGGTGCGGAAGGCATGCTTGGCAGCCGCGCACTCCTCCTCAAGCCGCGTCTGGACCGCCTTGTGGCGCGTGCTGCGTGGCAGTCGGCCGCCCGGAGTCGCGGCACCGGATGCCGGAGAGGTGCCGGCGGCGGCGGCGGCGGAGGGGGAGGAGGGCGGGCTGCCGGGTGCGGGGGAGCTAGTCACGGCGGGCGGCGCCGGGCTCCAATGCACGCGCCTGCCGCTGCCGTCCTCTTCCTCTGTCTGTCCGCTGCGCCGCATGGCCAAGGGACGGCCCATCCCGCTGCTCCACGGCGTGTCTTCCGTTGCCGCCGTGCGGGCCGCAGCGGTGCCTGGGCGGTTCACCTCCGCCTCCGCCTCCTCTTCCTCGGCGTCGTCATCGTCGTGCAGGCCGTTGTGCATCAGCGCCACCTGTAAGGCGGACTTGTGCACCCGCCGGTCACCGCCGGTCATCTCCGCGCCGCCGCAGCTTTCCAGCTCCGTGAGAACGACAGCCGTCTTCCCGGCATCGGTGTCGCCGTAGTTTGCTTCCTCGTCGTCCTTCAGCGCGTACTTGTCCCGCAACGTCCACAGCATCGCCATGGCAACTGGGTGGAGGCACATGCCCACGAACATCGTCTTCACCAGCGCCGACGCCTCCCACTTGTTGCCGAGGTGGAAGAGAACGGCGATGGAGATGATGAGGCCGACGCAGCCGGACAGAACCTGGTCCATCCATTTCAGGTTGTACACGAACGCACGGCGGCCGGTGGCGACGCTATCGGCGAAGAGGGCCTCCATCGTGGTGGCCGAGATGCCCGCGTAGACGCCGCAGAGCGCCTGCGAGATGTAAAACAGGATCAGATTGAGGTTGGCGGCGGCCAGCATGGCGATGGCGATCGTGATAAAGCCGACAATGGACCCAAAGCGAAGAACCGTCTCGTGCTTCACGGTGTTGCCGATGTAGCCCGCCACGACAGCCGCCAACATCTGCGTAATACCAGCGAAGCCGGCCATCCACCCCACGGCTTCATCACCGCCAAGCTGCTTCACCAGCACCTGGAAAGGGTCCTGCCGCCAGATGCTGTGCGAGGCCCCGTCGAGGAAGCAAAACACAAGTACGCGGGATACATTTCTGTTCGCTAACGCCCCCCATCCACTGGGGGCCGGCGGATCATCGTCGCCGTCATCGTCGTAGTGGTACACGACAACGTCGTCCGTTGTCTCGCCCACGTTGCCGCCATCTGCCGCCGTCCGTGGAGGAGGCGGAGATGCCCTTTCCTCCACCGACCCCACCGCCGGGGACGGTGACTCGCCGCTCTCCGCTTTCGACCCAGTGAAGTGGGGCGCTGTCATGCTGCGTGGAGCGAGATGCAATAGGAAAAGAAGCACACAAGTGAATGCCTATTTGTATGCATATAAGTATCTAGGTGCTTTGTGAGAGCGTACAGGCACGCACATATATGTGTAGCGAAAAGGGAAATCCGCCGCGAAATACGGTCAGCGACTGCGTCGCAGAGCGAGCGAGCGAGAGAGAGAGAGAGTGAGCGTGAGCGTGAGAATGAGACAGACAAGTGAGAAGGCAAAAGAGATGCTGCATATATATATGTGCTCAATGAAAAGGATCAAGGAGGAGGTACTGCACTTAGCACCAAACACTCGCTATACATATATTTTACTTCGTGTGCATGATGAGGTAGAAAAAGGGAAGGCATCTCCGGTACTTCGTTGTTGACGCCACCATTGTGAACGTTTCATGACCCCCAAAGAAACCACACTTTCGCTCAGCGGAAAACGGCTCCTATGCGAAACACTTCGATTGGTTTCCCATACTCGTGTGCGAGTGTGAAAGTACCGTGAAAAAAAAAAATCAAACAAAAGCGGCACCTGAATACGATTGGATTTGCGACGACGATTTGTTTGTGGTTTACATCTAATATCGCGGCTCCTCAACGAGGGCATCTCCCCGATAAAAAGCGGATCGCGAGAGAGCCGGGCGTGTCATCAACTCCTTTTCTCTCTCTTCGATCTGTATACGAGGATCGCTTCACACCACTCGGGCGAGCACACCTACAGACCCAAACACGCACACAAGCGATGCTGGTCAGCGGTGTTTGCGCACCACAGCCAAGCGCTCCATCTCCTTCGCCACCTGCTGTTGCATGAGCTCCCACGCCTCCTCCGCTTCCGCCTCCCCGTCCTCAGTGGCGGCGTCAACGTCTGTTATACTGCATTGAGCGGGTGTTGTCCGCGCAGCGCTCATCGCGTTGCCTTCGACACTCTTCCGTTTGCTGTTTTCCTGTCCCGCGCGGCGCTGCTGCTGCTGCTGCAGCGGCTTCGATGATGGCGGGCAAGGACGTGCTGGCACGCGTACCGGTGCCGCTGGAACACCTGTCTCCTTCAGCGGTGGTGACATTGGTGGTGTTGTTCGATGTGCGGACTGCTCTCCGCGTTGCGCCTGCGGTGGAGGAGCCATGTGACACCACTTCGTGAGCGCTTCAGCTAAGAACGAGAAGGGTGCTGACGGCAGCATGTGACGTTCATCTTCGTCTCTCTCGTCATCCTCTTCGAACGACGATGAGGTGCTGCTGCTGCCGCTACTGCTGACGGTGTCACTACGGTCCGACAGCGTGGACGATGTGTCGCGGTGGGTGGTGCTCCCTTCGCTTTCTTCGCCCGTTGAGTCATCTCCTGGCGTAGAGGGCGCCGCGGAGGGACTTGAGCCAAGTGCACCGGGCGACAGTTGCTGCTGCAAGTCAGCGGACGAGAGGAGCTCGTTGCGTAGGCGCAGAAGCAGCTCTGCCGGGCTGCCCCGGTACAGCTTCTCCCCTTGCGCGATGGCCTCTGATGACGGCACCGCGGCTTCCGCATCGGCCTGTGGCGGGTTAGCCAAGCAAAGCGCACGGATCGCCTCCGCCGTCTGCAGCGCCGAGACAACGTTGCGATTCTGCAGCTGCAACAGCATCTGCGCTGTGAGGTGAACGTAGCTGCTGTCAAGAGCTTCCGCAGACCCACACTCCTGCGACGGCGGTAGGTCGTCTGACATGAGAAGGGGGAAGCCAATAATACCTTTAAAAGAAAAAAGAGAAAGAGAGCAATGAATCAGACAGCAACAACAACACCAACGAAGAAACCAGCGCAGCTCCGCCGCGTGCCGTTTCCACCGCACACTTCGCTGTGGAAAAGAAAAACAAAAGAAGCAGGAAACACCACAAAATCAAGGCGTTTGCCAAGACGAGACTCACAGCAGAAAGAAGATTACGAGAGGCGAAGAAATAGTAAAAGAGCGGCGGGGGAGGTCGCCTCTTCCGTGCGCACCGAACGGCGCGTTTGACTGGGCTGCCACCCATCCCTCTCTCTCAACGCGTCCCAGAACGGATTCTTTCTTTTCATTTATACGTACTTTCACCATTTCCCTTCTCCCCTGGTGTTGTTGTCGCACGCCGCGCAGTTGGAGGTGCCATGCGACCCCGTTTTCGCCACCACAGCTGTGCCTTTCACGCATCCAGGTGGAGAAGAGAGTGAGAAGGGGGAGGGCCGTCCACATTAATGGAGAAGACGAACCGACGGCCCCTTTGATCGTTCGTCGTGCAGCTGCGAGACGAGAGAGCGCAATCATACTTGTAGATGGTAGTAATAATAATACAGAATTCGAGTACGGTAGATTAAAGCAAGGAGCACACATACACGAAGGAAAACACGTAAGCAAACAGGAGAAGCAGCGAGGTGTGGCGATGCGCACTACCCTTGGCATCTTTGAGACAAGCAAACAACATCGGAAACGAAGCGTACCCGAGGGAGAGGAAGGGAGAAATAGGGAGGAGGGGCGGGGGAGGGGGGGGGGGGAAATGGACGAAGAAGAGAAAGGAACTGACGAAACTCCTTCATCAAAAGAGCCGCCTTTTCTTTTCCTTCCTGCCATTTGCCGTTGCAGCCTCCATTCACATGCGGTCGGCTTCGTCTTCCTCCTCCTCCACCTCCCCCCTCGTTTCCTCTGCAGCGGTGACGGCGGTTACAATAAGCGGCGGGGCGTCCAGTTCACGTGCACCAAGCGCGGCGGGTAGCATGAGCAGGGTCGCTCCCAGCTGCACCAAAGCCGTAATCGTGAAGTTCAGTTTACACCCGTGCGTCTTCGTGATGAAGCCGCCCAGCGCCGCGCTGCCCGCCCAGGATAGGGAGGTGACGCTCTCAAACGCGGACCACTTCGCACGGGTGTGCCGTGCGACGCAGTCCATAATCACACTTCGCGTCACGCCGAACACCGAGTTCATCAGCGCGTTGCGACAGAGAAAGAGAGCCACAGCGGCGGGCCGCGAGCCCCAGACCGAATCGCGCGTCGCCGTGGCGAGGAGGAGCAGCGCCGTCGTCCCCACGAAGCGGACCCCCATTACGGTGGGAATGCGGCCGGCCCCACACGCCATGATGAGCCACGGCAGGAGGGACGACGTCGCCGCCGTCAGCAGCGTCGACGCGATGAAGATGCCGTACAGACCCGCCGGGCTGACGTCGCAGTCGGCGGCGAAGAAGACGGCGAAGAACGGGAGAGACATGCCGGAGCCGACGGCGAGGAGGAGGTCGACGGTGCACATCCAATACGGCACCATCGCGAGCGAGGTGAGGCAGCAGGGGCGACCACAAAGCCGCACGTTGTACGCGCGCGTGGGGCTCGTCTCACCTCCGTCAGTGGGCGTATGCTCCTCTATCAAAGTCGGCTGTAGGGGTGCGGCAAAGCTGTGTCGACTGGGGGCCCTTAGTGCGTCCACTGCTTTCCCCCCCTCTTCCTCACCGCTGCTTACCCCGCCGCCGGTACACGAAGCCTTACGCGGCACCGCAGGGACAGCAGATGCGTGCTCCTCGAACGGGTCGTCCTCTTCGGCCGGCACAGGGCACGCCAGAAACGCCGTGACGGCTGTGGCGACTGCCGCACCACTGGCATGCCCAGTTTCACTGCTACGGTCTGCCCCCTCCCCCTCCTGCACGGCGTACTGATCCTTCAACGAGCAGAGGGGCACGAGGGCGATGGGGTGCATCATCACCCCCAGCATCAACACCATCCGCATTTTGTGCAGCTCCCACGTGTTGTGCCACAGCGCGAAGAGCACGGCGGCGACGGCGTAGCCAACCACGTAGCAGAGCGTCTGCACCATCCACTTTGTGTTGTAGATAGCGGTGCGCCGGCTCTGCTGAACGCTATCGGCGAAGAGGGCCTCCACGCTGGTCGAGGTGGTACCGGTGTAGAGACCCCACAAGGCCTGGCCCACGAACACGAGCTTCGCACTCGACCGGTCGAAAGCACACAGGAAGGTGAGGAGGGCCACCACCGCACACACCGCCCCTGCACGAATGCACAGCTGACGCGATCGGCGATCCGCCACGTAGCCGGCACCGAGGGCGCCGCCAAGCTGCGCCACTCCGCAGATGGTGGCGGCCAACCCAATCGTCGAGGCGTCCGAGGTGAGCTCTTTCAAGTACAAGGGAAGCAGCTGCATCCCCCACAGACTGTAGAACGCTCCATCAGCGAAGGTGTAGCACAGCGTGGTGGCGACGTTGGGGCTGTAGCTGGAAAACGTCCAGCGCGGTGTTTGGCTCGCCTGTGTAGGGGCTGTTGACACGGCGGGGAGAGCGGCCGCTGGTGCACCCCCGCTTGCGTTGTCGTGGCCGTTTCGGGGCGCTGCGGGCGCTTCTGCGCTCGATGCTGGTTGCATTCGGTGCCCGCGGGGTTCGTGGGGACGCTGTCCGCTTAAACTGTAATAACAATATACCTTTAATGAATTTAAAAGCTTTCTCACGCACCGCTAGCGAGGCTCTAAACACACGTTAAATACAACCACATGCATATATATATGTATATTTATAACTATCTGGGAAATCTTTGGCCAGTGCTCGAGTCGTTAAGAATGGAAGAGAAGAAGAGTGATCGGGAGGACACGACCGCATCGTTAAGCAAACGCCGGAGTCGTGGGGGAGAAGCAGTCTTTTTTTTCACCTTTACAGCTATCAACGTCACACCCTGGCATTCTGGATCTGTCTGTGGAGTCACGTCGGACGCTCTTCGACATCAGTGAGGTTCAGCTATTGACTTCTCCCGGATGCGGTGAAGGGCGAAGAAAACAAAAAACGACAGCGTCAACAACGCAGATGCCGGGGAGGAGGAGATATCACACTCACCTCTCAGGACATATACATATAACATAATCTGTTACCGTAGCTTATCTTCTCGTTTGCCAATTAACTTAGAGTTACATCCGTTCTTCCTCTTCTCAGTGTTCCTCGTAAAAAATAACAATAAATGGATGAATAAGGAAACAAAGGACGGACACGGTGAGAGGGTGCAACGAGCGGGGAGAGAGGGAAAGAGAACGAAAGAAAGACGGATACAGGCAGCGCATTTCCATGAATATGTGAAAGGTAAAATGGAGAAACAACGACAACAAACGAGACAACACACACACAAAAGGCCATTGAGATGCAGTATAACGCTGCCACGCGCACATCCCAATTTTTTTATTCAGTTGAATAACACCGTTTCGTTTTGTTTCGGCTGCAAAAGTGAGGCGCAGAGCCGATCAGCAAGAAGAAGATAAGAAGAAAAAAACCAGCAGTCGAACACAGAGGAGGAGCAGAGCCGTCTCTCTCGCGCCAAGACGCAAAAAGACCATCATGAACAGGCTGCGTTGCTTCTTAAGCACGCGAGTACACACAGAGAAAGAGAGAGGGAGAGAGACAAAACAAATGCTGCGTCATCGCTCAACTTCCACTCCGCCCACTCTTCTGTTTTCCTCCCTGCCAAAAGCAACAGCAATAGAAAACACACGCCGCCACGAGAGAGAGAGAGAGACATGGTTGCCCATCACGTTTCCAGGCCGAAGAAATGGAATTGAACAAAACGCCTTTAAAAACAAACAGACCAAGAAAGAGGTTCACATACGTCGTAACGGGGCGCACTAAGGACTGTGCGCTGGAACATGTATAAAGAGAGAGAGAGAGGAGGGTAATGAACGAGAGATGCAAAGGGTAGGTAGAAGTGCCCGTTAGAAGTGTGGATCAGATTAGAAAAACAAAACAATCAACAACAATGGCAACAGTATGGTCAGACGCCTGCGACTTCACCACAATGCCGCGTAGGGCAAACCGTGAGAAGAATCAGAGGGAGGAGAAAAATCAAATAAACCAATAAAAAGAACAAGAAGAAGAGATCTTCACCCGCAACGCTGCTGCGCGTTGATCTCTATTCGTTTTTAATCCATATGTGCTCTTTACATCTAGAGTTTAGGCGACTTCTTTATCGCCGCCCACGTGCACGACGACGTCGGTAGATGCCACATCCTCCTCGTTGCTGCGACGCTCTTGTCCTGGCAAGGTCGTGTACAGGAGCGCATCCGCAGCGCCACCGCGTGCGTCGTCCCACGCATCGAACGTGCCGGCATCCACGCGGCTCGCACGGCGGCGGAGGTAGCAGCGGTACCAAACGGCGCCTACCATCGCGGTCGTCGCTAGCACACCCGCCAGCACAAAGAGCAGCACGGCCCACCACGCTAGCCCCTCCGACGCGGGGTCGTCGCCACACACGATAGCCGCGCCGGGACACCGTTTCGAGGCGTCCGAGGTCAGTCCCGCCTCGCTTGTTGTGATATGCCGCGAGCACAGCCACTCCTTCGGCACGCAGCCCGTCACCTGCGTCCCGGTAAAGTTTGCGTGTGTCAAATTGCTGAAGCCACCCCACGCCCCCGGGACCGTGCCGGTGAGCGCCGTGTACGCCACGTCGAACACCTCCAGGTGCAGCGCCCCGTAGACGGCGGGCAGCGTGCCGGTGAGGGCGGTGTGACCAAGGAAGACCTTCGTGAGCTTCGGCATGCTGCCCCACTGCGGCGGCAGGGTGCCGGCGAGCCGGGTGTTCGACACGTCAAACTGCCGGAGTCGCGGCATGCCGCCCCACGCCGGAGGCAACACACCGGAGAGCTGTGTGTGGGACATGTCAAAGACGACAAACTTCGGCAGCGTGCCCCACTCCGACGGGAGCGCGCCGGTGAGGTCGACGTGAGAGATGTTGATGTACAGCAGGTTTGTCATGCCTGCCCATTCCACAGGCAACGGACCGGTGACGTTGGTGGACGAGAGGTCAAAGTGGGAGAGTTGCGTCATGTTGCCCCACTCCGGTGGCAGGGTGCCCGACACCTGCGTGTGGGAGAGGTTGACGTAGAACATGCGCTGCATCGCGCCCCACTCGGGCGGCAGCGTGCCGGCGAGCGCCGTCGAGTCCGCCGTAAACTCCCACAGCTTCGCCATGGTGTGCCACGCCGTGGGCAGCGTGCCGGAGACGGACGTGTTGGACACCTCGAAGGTCTGCAGAGCCGTCATGCCACTCCACTCGCCGGGCACCGCGCCGGTGATAGTGCTGTCCGATGCACTGAAGGCCTTGAGGGTGGCGAGAACCCCCCAGCTGGGCGGCAGCGTCCCGGAAATACCCGAATTGCCATCAATGGAAAGGACCGATACGCGGACCAGCGACGCGTTCAGGTCTGCATCGAGTGCCGGCAGAGTGCCGGAGAGGGCCAAACTGGAGAGCGAGACGGTCACGCCATTGGAGGTGCAGGAGATGCTGGGCCACGAGCAGTAGTCGACGGAGGGGTCCCAGAGGCGGGCCAGCGCGGGCAGAGCCTGCGTCAACGACAGCAAAAAGCGGCGGGTGTGGGTGTCCTCGTCTGGGGTGTAAGGGCTGGCGCCTGCGGTGCACACCACGCACACAGCAGCAGCAGCAGCAGCAGCAGTGACGACAGCACAGGTGTGCGTGCGCAGCAGCAGCGGTGTATGGCAGCAAGCATCCTCGACTTTTGTGTTGTTAGTCGCCGAGAGAAGAGATGATAAGATCGAGGAGGTGGACTACCTCGACGTGCGAGTTTGTGTACTGGTGTGGGAGGAAAGGGTCTGAGGCAGCGAGCGGCAGGCTGAGAGGATGCACGTGACAACGTGTGTGTGTGTGTGAGGTGGATGAGGCGAGGGTGTGGAAGCAAGGAGGGAGAGGCGAGAAACACGAACACATGCAGTGGAAGGGCGGTACTAGAGGGCCCAAGCAAACAACCAAAGAAAAGAGCAGCAGCTCTGCACGGGAGGGCGGTGCGGTGCTGATGGGCAACCGGCGTCAGCATCACGCCCGGTGCCAGAAGGCCACGCACGCGTCGTAGGTGTGTGTGTGTGTGTGTGTGTGCATGTGAGTGTGTGTCAACGGTTGATTCTCATCCTTTTCTTTGGCGATTCGCTTTTCCGCTGGCGACGCAGCGGGACCGCAGGAGAGACGGCAAAAGCGGCGTCGAAGTGCAACACAAAGAAACACACACGCGGCGTTGCCGTTGAGGGCACCAAAGAAATAATAATAATAATAGAGGAGAAAGCAGTGAGACACGCGCGTTTGAGAAAGTAAAAAGAAGAAAAAAAAAACAACAGCTACATGCGATCAGCGAAACGAGGGGTGACGAAACCACACGCACACGGGGGAGGTCGGGAGAGGAGAAGTCCATGACGCACCGCATGGCCCTCCTTTACAAGCGTCCAAGAGCGCGGCCCATGCAAATGGAGGAGGAGAAGAAACCCCCTGCAGTAAAACAACAACAAAAAAGGAAAGAAAGAAGGAAACGACTTGCCTTACATCGGCGCTGGTGTTTCGGTCCGCTTCCCAAGGGCAAGAGAGACAGCAAGCAGAAGACTGAAGCTCGACGTGGTGAGCGTCAGATCGAAACGGCGAAAGAAACGAAAAGAAGAAGCGGGGTCCGGGTCTCGGTCAGGTGCATCCCGCATCGTCGTGACACTGCCGCAGCAGAGGCACGCTAACAGGGACACTCTCCCACACGTCACCCCGCATTACCACTACGAACACCAGAGACGGCGTCCTCGCGCGGCCCACCGGCGTACCGCACAGGTGCCTCGTCCGCATTCATGCGGTGGTGCCACGCATCCAACTGCCCGTGGGGGATCACCGGTGCACTGCGCCGGCACCACGCATCCACGATGACGGCGACCACCACCACGCCGCACGTCACCACCACCACCGTGAGCAGCCACTGCAGAAGCGCAACGACGCCGCGTAAGGGGCAGATTTCGGATGCCTTCGGGCAACGACCCGACGCAGCCGGCGTGAGACCAACGTCGGCGGCCGTCAGGCCCCGCCGGCACAGCCACGCGATGGGCACACACCCCGTCATCTGCGTGTCCGCGACACGCACCACCTCCAGGGCGGTCATGTTGCCCCACGACTCCGGAATGGTGCCGGAGAGCTGCGTCGCGTTGAGCATCAGCGCCCTCATCTTGTACATGCTTTTCCAGGGCGAAGGCAGGGTGCCGCTGATGGGGGTGCCGGAGATATCGAAGTCGTACAGCCTTGTCCAGTTCTTCCACTCCACGGGCAGCGTACCGGTGATGGAAGTACCAGCGACGTCAAAGTGGTTCATGGCGCTCAAGGTCTTCCACTCCACGGGCAGCGTGCCGGAAATAGCGGTGCCATTCACGTTGAAAGCCATCACCAGTGATATGTTGGACCAGACCGCGGGCAGTGTACCGATGATGCCCGTGTGCGCCGCATCGAAGGTCCCAAGCGTGGGCAGGCTGCTCCATTCACGTGGCAGTGTGCCGCTGATGGCGGTGTACGACACATCAAGGGACCAAATACCGCGTGCGGCACCCCACTCTGCTGGCAGTGCACCGCGGATGGCGGTGTGAGAAAGGTCCAGCGAGCTCACCACACTGGAGTTGCTCCACGCAGCCGGGAGAGTGCCGGTGATATGGGTGCCCGACAGACAAAGGCGATGCAGCGACGGCATCGTGACCCACTCCAAGGGCAGCGTGCCAGAGACCTTCGTATTCTTCAGGCTCAAGGAAGATAATGCCGGTGCCTCCCTCCACGCGGAGGGCAGGGGGCCGGTCAGGCGCGTGTTGTCGAGGTTCAGCTCCCCAAGGGAGGCCATCCGACCCCACTCCGGCGGCAGGGTGCCCGACACTTGTGTACTCGACAGATAGAGGAATGCAAGTGGGGCCATCTCACTCCATGTGGGCGGCAGGGTGCCAGAGAGGTCCGTGTGGCGCAGGTCCAACTTTCGGAGGGAGACCATCCGATCCCACGCGGGCGGCAGGGTGCCGGAGAGGGTTGTATCCGACACGTCAAGGTGCTGCAGCCTCGTCATGTTCACCCACTGCGGCGGCAGCGTGCCTGCGATACCGCTGTTCTTGAGGTACAACCACTGCAGTGCCGCCAGGTCCCCCCAGCTGGGCGGCAGCGTCCCACCAATCGCTGGGTTGTTGGTGATGGAAAGGACCGATACGCGGATCAGCGACGCGTTTAGGTCTGCATCGAGTGCCGGCAGAGTGCCGGAGAGGGCCCAGTTGGAGAGGTACACACCAACACCGCTGGAGGTGCAGTATACTTCCTTCCACGAGCAGTAGTCGACGGAGGGGTCCCAGAGACGGGCCAGCGCGGGCAGAGCCTGCGTCAACGACAGCAAAAAGCGGCGGGTGTGGGTGTCCTCGTCTGGGGTGTAAGGGCTGGCGCCTGCGGTGCACACCACGCACAGCAGCAGCAGCAGCAGTGACGACAGCACAGGTGTGCGTGCGCGGCAGCAGCGGTGTATGGCAGCAAGCATCCTGTAGTGATGAAGTAAAACACACGTAGTAGAGGTTTGGCACACACACACACACAGCTGTAAACGTGAGATGATGAAGTTTAAGGACTAGAGTTGTGGTCAAGCACGTTGCCGAGAGGACCTTTTGCAAACGGAGAGCAAAAAAAGCAAAGGGCAGAAAGGTAGGTAGAAGCACAAGAGACCGTGCAGAGGAGAGAGAAGGATGACACGACGTGGGGATGCAGTGGTGCGCAGACCGCTGCAGACGACGACGGTGGCGCAAGCAACATGAAAAGCAGATAAGGAGGGGGAGTCGAGCACACACCCGTAAAACGAGCAGGCGTATGATGGGCGAGAGACAAAGAAAAAAAAATGTCCAGTCTTTTCCCTAAAAGAGCTTCGAGAAAGCAAAAGAAAGACCTTTTTGATGACGGTGTGTGTTGTGAAACGGAGATTCACTCGATGCGCATGAGCAGTCCACGCCGTTACCGTAGACAACACGGCATTCTACCCCCTACACACACACACACGACATGCATGAACAGAACAGTAAGAAAAAACGTATTCAATTGCAATAATGATGATAACAATAACGATAAAGAACAACAACTAACCAACACACAAGTGCAAACAAATCTCCCCTGTTGCAGCTATTTCTTAAGCAACCAAAAGCGTCCGAAGTTGTGGTTAACGCATCGCTTCGTGAGCAGTTCAGCCAGCTCTTGGTTCGCCGCGGCCACGATGGTGGTATCTCGTGCCATATCGAACGCATCGCCCAGCATGTTGTACACTAACCCTCCCGCCTCCGTCACGAGCAGCGAGCCGGCGCAGACATCCCACGCCTTGCCGGCTGGCTCTAGATAGGCATCGACGCGGCCGGCCGCGATCTGGGCGAAGGTGGTGACGGAGCTGCCGTAGCAGCGAAGCCCCGCCACGGGCAGCGTGGCGAGCTCCTCCCGCATGCGGGCGCTGCAGTCCACTGCCTCCGCGTGCCGGCGCTGACGGATCGTCGCGGCATCAGGACGGGCGGCCTCCGTCGTCGTCAGCTCCACCCCGTACGGGTAGTTGAAGACGACGAGGGCGGTGCGAGGCGTGGCGTTGGTGTTCACGTGTAGACGACGCCCGTTTAAGTACGCGCCCTGGCCGCGGATGGCGGTGAAGAGCTCGCCATTGCACTCCGGCACCACGCTAGGGCTCGAATGGGTCATAACAGGCAGCGTCGTAGCATCTGCGGAGGCGGGCACGTGTGTCTCTGTTTTAGGACCTGCGCTGGCTGTTTTATTCATCTTTGCTGCCGCGGAGGGGGCGGTGGCGGTAGAAGATAGTCCCGTCAAAGGTGCGACAGCTGCGGCATCGCTCGTTGTCGTGGCGCTGCTTGGCATCCCGGTCGGGGAAGAGGAGGAGAGGGTGAGTTGCTGCTGCGCCTGCTGCTGCACACTCCGCAGCATGGCGGACGCGGCGGTGGTGAGGCGAACGCCAGAGCTGATGAACGGGGTAAAGACGACGGCGAGCACGGGCTGCTTGCGGTGCGTGAGACCGATGCTGACGCAGCAGTCCGGCAGCCCGTGGACGAAGGACATGGTCCCATCGATCGGGTCCACTACCCACGTGTAGTCGTCCGTCAGCGGCGTCGTCGGGTTCAGCTCCTCCGTCATGAAGGCGAAGCGCACGTGCGGCTTGTCCTTTTGCACCTCCGCGGCGTACTGCCGCAAGATGCGGGTAATGACCTCGTCACACTGCGTGTCGTACCGCGTAACGAGGTCCGTCGCCGATGTCTTTGTCTCGATCAGCAGGTCAGTGGAGAGCGATTCGCTAGGCCCCCCTGAGCGTGCGGTAGTTGCAGTAGGAGTAGCAGCGGTGGTGGCGTCGTTGTTGGAGGGTGCACTGCGCATCGTTGCCGCTGCGGCAGCGGCTGCGCGGCGCTTCTCGACGCTTTGCCAGATGATGCGGCCCGCCTTCTCCGCCGCCTCGATGGCGACCCCGAGGGCCTCCATCAGATCCACCTCTGTCTCGTCCTCGTACATGTTGACGCTCGACACCCTCAACACACACACACACACTCGAACAGATAAATAATTAACAGTCCTGCCAAAAAAAAAATCAAAAAACTCAAAAGTCGATAAGACAGCAGAAAGTCGATTTTTTACACGTTTTGACGTGAGCCGCGACGCGTCAATCTGCAGGAGGGAGGGAGGGAGAGGGAGTGTGTGTGTGCGGGTACGCCTCTTTCTTTGCTTTGAGGTCGTTTTGCCTTGAAAAAAGGAAGAAAAAATGGAAGACCTATTACGATAGATAGTGCCGCTAAAGCCCTCGCCCTTAGAGTGAATGACCGGCTCCGTCAAAAGGTGTTTCAGCTGCAGCGACTCAGAACATGGGATTGACAGAAAAAGATAAAATAAGACAGATAATACATATATATCAGATCGCGGCAGGGGAGGAAGTAAATGGAGAGTGATGTGATGAACAGGATAACGCATGAGGGCTGCTCCATTCCAATTCGCACCGTTTTTAACTTCTACTACATCCAACACAAGAAAGGTGCTCTTCTGCGTTGTGTACTTCTCCTGTTGTCAAAAGGAAAGCCACGAAAGCAGAAGCAGCGAGACAACGGTGTAGGAAGAAATCATGGAGAAAGATATGAGTCACGGCGAGGCGACCATCACCTGCCGCTATCTTTTACGGTGCCCACCTCAATCAACTACGGAAGGACCTGTTATTTCCGTCCGCTCTGCGCGCCTATTCCTGCTGTTCGCCATCTACTCCACACTCGTTGTTATCCTGTGATGTCTCTCGTCTTCTTTTTGAAAGTTTCACCTTGCTTGCTTGCCCATACAGCTCAACACAAGACGATTGCAACGCTCAATAATAATAATAGGAAGAAGCAAACATTTCAATAGATAGCGCAACGACCACGAGCAGGTCCTTTGTTGAGCTTGCTGCCGGTTGCCCTTCTAGATCTTTTTCTCCTCTTTCGAAATACAGAGGCATTCGCCGACAGAAACACACACACACACACACACGTACACATCGACTTACCTGCACTTATATATCTAAATACACGCGATTGTGAACTCCAACACCCTCATAAAAAGAACGACGATAACACGTATGTAAGGGTCGTCTCCGCTTCGTGGGAGGACGAGAGGGGCGACTTTCAAACAGGGGGGGGGGGAACAACAAGAGAAAAAATGTTTTCCCAGCTCCTTTGTCCATCAAATTTGCCGCATTCCAAAACAAAAGAAGAAGAGAGGTCGCGTCTACGAGCTCAAAGAGACAATGACTTCGTTTCGTTCAACGAAGTGAATATATATATATATATATATATATATATGTGTAAATAAGTATATAGACAACAGAGAACCTTGAGCAGCGATCACAACATGGGAGGAATGGGAGGAATGGGAGAAATATATATATGTGTGAATGTTTGCTGCAGCGATAGGGTGCTCCTTTGCGTCCTTTTCTCACCGTGCTTTTCATTTTGGATAAACTAGAAAACGACGATTCTCGATCGGACCACCACCGACCTCAAAGACCCGAAGATGCGACCAATAACGCCTGTTTCGTCCTTCGCCTTCGCCTTCGGTGTGTGTGTGTGTGTGTGTGTGCCCTCTCCCCACGCTCGTGTCGCACCGTACACGGACTTCTACTGTGAGGGGAGATGGGAAAAAACCACCACACAATAAAGAAAACAAGAAAAGATGCTCTACGCAGGTGGACGCGGGGTGGAACACACAGACAGAGGAGGAAATAGGGAAACAAAGCCATCCACAACAACGGCGGCGGCGTCTGGTGGTACGGAGGCGGGAGGGGTCCACGCGGTCACCGCACTGCTCGGTCGAATAGAGTAAATGACAAGAACGATGAGTATGAAAAGTTAGAAGCATTGAAAAAAAGAAGAAGAGAAGAAAACGCCTCTTACTGCGGGGAGGCTTTGTGCAGCTGCATATTTGATCTCTCAGAGGAACACCAATAATAATAATAATAATAATAATAATAAGATACTAAACCAAGCAACACAATCACAATCACACACACACACACACACACACACACACACTTCTTGGGCACCCGTGCGCCTGTCTTTTCTCATAGCCGTCCATAACAAGGAGAGAGGGGAGAGAGAGAGAAGAAATCATCGAAATAATAAAATGAGGAAATGAAAACATCAAAGAGGATTTTGCTAAATTACCGTAGACGCACCGTCTCGAGAACAACAACAACAACACCCCGTTTCTTCTTGCGGTACTCCCCCACTTCCACCGAAGCTGCACGTCATCATCATCGTCATCATCGTCAACAGAGAGAGAGAGAGATGGGGAAAATAAAAAGAATTCTAAGGGAAGATGAAGAGGTCGTAGTCATGGAAAGGATCCGGAAAAAAAAACCCGGAGTCGGTGTACACTGCGATAATACAAATATGCTTCACGCACACACAACATCCACACAATAGATACAGTAGATGTGGCAGGAAAACACTTCAATGGTGAGGGGTAAATAGTAATAAAGAAGACAACAATGATGATTCGATAAAGGAGTCACACCATACAGAGAAAAGCAAGAATCGACAACGTAGGAGAACCACACACGCGTGCGTTATCGTGCCCGGAGAGAAGCGAGAGAAGGGAAGGATGGACAGGAGCGAGAATCATCAACTGAAGGTTCTTTGAACGGGGGAAACCAATTATCGCACTCAGCCCCTCAGAAGACGACAGCTAAATTAAATAATAATAATAGTAATTCAACACGAACCGGTAAGAAGAAAATTAAGACGTAGAGTTACAGCTTCCAAGAAAGGCACAACAACGGAGAACGGCAGCAAACACAGAAGAAGAGGAAAAGGAAGAAAACAAAAAGAAAAGGGAAGAGAGACAGAGAGCACAGTGCCGCAGGGGCGGCAAGGCTTGCTTATCTCAGTGTCGGGCGACCTGCACAGAACAGCACAGTAACGAACTAACTAAAAATAACAACAGTCAATTTTCCCTTTTAGAGAGTACTTCTCCCCATTGGTGATATCGCCACCGGTGGAGTAAGTGGGACCTCGTCGTTACTTCACTGTAGTAGATATATATTTGTAAGCAAATATGATTTCCGTTATGAACACGCAACACATGAGGCCGCGCAGAGGGTGCGAAGAAACAACAAAGCATATATATATATATATATATATAATAACAACAACAAACAAACAAGCAAACGACAAAGGCAGTTAAACACAACAACAGGAAAAGAAACTAAAGTAAAAGGCTGGACTCTGCTCTTATAAAAAGGCCCATTTCTTTCCTTCGCCAGGTGGTGTCTGGGCACCCGTGTTGGTACCACGTAGAAGTGAAGAACGCAAAGAAACGAGAGGCAGGAGTCGAGCTCCCATGAGCGACGGTACTCCTCTTTCACCCTTGTCTACTCACGGGGGAAGGAAGGAAAAAGCGCTGACAGGCGCACACAGAGAGAAAGAAAGAAAAAAGCCTTGTCCGTGCGCACCCGAGAAGCAACGTTCCCGTGTGGGTCACACACGTAGCTCCTGCGAGACAGCAAACAAACAACAAAGCCAAAATGTGTAAACACAAGAAGAAGGCAGCGCGCCACACCGCGGAAGAGAGCTGTACGTGCGCTTTCTGCGCAGCGCCGTCTGATTCAGGGAGAGGAAGACCACGAAAACAAAACAAAACCGGGAGATGAAGGAGCGCCGTGGGCTTCGAATTTTACTTTTTCTTTTGTTACCTCGTAAATCGGCGACGCCGCAAATCTACTGAAAAGAAAAAAAAAGGAGAAAACGTAAAGAGTACCAACAAGAGACTTAACCGGTAAAGCAGGCGAGGTGCAGTCCCGTACACACACTCGAACTTCCTACCCCTTCTGTCAGGTGGTGGACGAAAAAAGAGAGTAAAAGGGCGAGGGAAGGCCGGATGCGCGATATACTCCTGTATTTTCCTTCCTCTTTTGACTGCAACCCGCGTCTATACGCAGGTGTGCTTGCATGGAAATCCAATTCACTTTGGTGTATGCGTTTGGCTGCGTTCCGATTCGTGCTGGTGTTCCGCAAACAGGCAGAGAAAGGGAATGCTTGATATCAGCTATTCGAAAAGAGCAGGGAGGGATGTCTTCCGACTCCACGTTCGGGTACGCGCACAACTGCAGCAGCAACATCTGCAAAGAGAGAGAGAGAGAGAGGATGCTTCTCATGAATGAATGAGGTGATAACGTGTCTTATGGCAACACGTACTAAAAAAGAAAGAAAGAGTTCAACAACAAACTCGATTCACCAACATACACGTTACATGGGTGAGGAAACAACAATGCGGATACCTCCTTCTGCGGTGTTCCGCTGTGCACGATCCTTCCACCCTTCTTCCCTCCCCCCTCCACCGTATTTTTCAGCTTTCTTCCCTCCGGCATCGAGTTGTGTTTGTAGTCCACCACGAGTGACGCGCTCAGTTTTCTTTTTAATCAACTGTTCTTTTGTTTTGAAGAGGGCAGGTTCCTCTCCCCCCACCTCCGCTGCTTTTCTTTTGCTGTGACCCTCCTCCACCTGCAACGCTGTCGCGCGTGCGTGCCCGCGAAGGAAAACGCGAGCCGCAGTGATGCCGTGACGGACAATCCACCGCTGCCTTTCCTCCCTTTCTTTTAGTGCTTTCCATTGCTATCAGTGCGCTCTTACTCCACCTCAATATCGATGGGGCTCTCTTCGTAGGTCACCGGGGTGTCCAGCGAGGACAGCGTCGCACGCTCGCTATCGTCGGCGTAGAAGGGCTGGCGGCGCGAGGAATGGGCGGACGGCGTGGCGGCCCCGGTCGAGCCGTACGCGTTCGACGGCGTGGCTATCGAGCCGATCAGCGTCGAGTTCGCATCGGACAGCTCGTCGTTGCTGCGTGCAGACGCGATGGCGCGCGGCGAGGCGACCCGCTTGCTGAGGTTCTTGACGAACTGCAGCTTACCGCGGCGCTGGCGTCCTTGATAGTAGAGGGAGGTGGCACCGATGACGCGCAGGCCAATCTGGTAGACGATGAGCGAGACGAAGGTCTGCCAGTAGTGCCAACCCTGGAAGCCCATGTACTCAATCACGGCGTCGCCGTTGGGGTAGGTGCACGAGGTCGTCACGGGGCTGCAGATTACTTTGAGGTGTCGGAACTCGTTCGTGAAGACGCCGAGGTAGGCGTGGCGGGGGAAGGAGAGGTAGTTCAGCCACTCCCAGTACGGGTACAGACGGTCCGTGTTGGCGAACATGCCCGACACAATGAAGAGCGGCAGCAGAACCAGCGGCACCATCGCAAAGGCCGCCTGCGACTCCTTGAAGAAGGTGGCGAACATGAGGCCAAAGGCGTAGCCGAAGTTGCCGAGCAGCACGAGGATGAACCAGTTCACAAAGAAGGCGTCGGCGCTGCGGTAGAAGTGAATCATAAAGTACGCGATGAGGTCAAACACGGTGGGGAAGAGCACCTGCCACGGCAGCTCGGCGGCGTTCTTGGCGAGGAAGTAGATGTACGCGTTGTAGGCGTCGTTCGCCTGCTCCTGCAGAAACACAGCGCGCTCAGGCGGGAAGGCGGCGATGCCGTTCATGGCCGCCCCGAAGAGGTTGTTCATGAGGGTGATGTAGAGCGATCCCTGGCGATCCTGCACGCCCTGCTGACTCAGCTTCACGTTGATGAAGAAGAGGCCCAGGAAGACGGCGAAGAAGAGGGTTTGGATGGCGCGGCCGTAGAAGTTGCCGGGATCGCGCATGTACATGCGCCATGACCGTTTCAGCAGCTCCATAAACTGCAGACAGAAGTTTGCGCCCTTCAGCTTCAGCTGCTCCTCGAGGTAGTCGTCCGTCATCGTAATCGCCCCCGTCACCGGCGTCAGACACGGGTTGGTCTCCGCGGCATCGGACATGATGTAGTCTTCCCAGGCGAGCCACAGCTGCGACAGGATTTCCTCCGGTAGCTGCAGCAAGTTCATGAAGTACTCCGTCGGGTTCGTGCGGGGCGGGACGTGGTAGCCGAGGGAGGCGAAGTATTCGATAGAGTCCGCGGTGGGGCCGTGGTAGATGACGTGGCCACGCGCGAGCAGCAGCAGATCGTCGAAGAGGCCGAACAGCTCCGACGACGGGGAGTGCACCGTGGCGATGACGGTGCGCATATCGTTCTTCGCGAGATCCTGCAGCAGCTGCCCCACGCGGACGGCGTTGACGGAGTCGAGGCCGGTCGTCGGCTCGTCGAGCAGCATAACAAAAGGGTTCGTAATCAACTCCGTGCCGATGTTCGCACGCTTCCGCTCCCCGCCAGAGACGCCCTTGAGAATGCCAGCGATGCCGAGGATGGTGTCCTGGCACTTGGTGAGGGAGAGACGCTTGATCACGTTGGCGGTGCGGCGACGGGCGGCGTCCGCGTCGAGGCCGAGGCGCAGACGAGCCGAAAAGTGGATCGCCTCCCGCGGAGTGTCCTTGCCCATCACGATATCATCCTGAGACACGTACGACACCAGACGCTTGTAGCGCTGTTGATAGATGTTGTTGTTCATGAAGCAGCACCCTTCCTGGCGCGCGGTGGCGTTGAAGAGCTTGCCGGTGATGGTGCCCATCAGCGTCGTCTTGCCCGCACCAGAGGGACCCATAATGGCGAGCACGCGTCCGCCCTTGGCGCATCCGCTAAGGTTAAATAGCAGCGTTTTGTAGGTGATGTTGCCGTTCTTGTCCTCCACGGGGACCTGGTAGGTCAAGTTCTCCCACGTGAAGTTCACGGCGTGGCCGAGGGTAGGCGCCTTTGCCTCGTGGTCATCGGGGACCGCGTCGGAGGCGGAGGGCTGGGTGGGCTCGTGCGGGGACTCCTCGTGGGCCTCGCTGTGCGCCGCATCTTGATCGCCTTGGGTGCCCATGGCGTTACGGCCCAGGCGGCGTTCGCTGCGGGAGAAGAAAATAGCAAAGAAGAGGAAGGAGCAGAGCGAGGAGGAGACGGAAGGAAGAAGCCTTCAGCTGCCTCCGCAACGGAGAAAAGGAAAAGAAAAGGTCTGGTGGCGTCAACAGGGGACTCGTGAATCCCGACAGCAGCCGCAACAGAGAGGAAGGAAAAAGAAGCCTGAAGCAGTGCGAGGAGAATAGACGATGGTCACTGCCGAAGACGTGGGGATGAAGCGAAGCAAACAGAACCAGAAAGCAACGTCCTTTACCGATTGTGCAGGACGGACCTCAAAGCTCTTGCGGCTGTCGACGTGCGTGCGTGCGTATGTGTGTGCGTGTGTGTGTCTGGGTGTGTGTATGTAAGCGGAGCCACACAGAAGGCTTTGAATGGCTGTGGCAAAGATGCGAGTGCGGAGACGAAGACGCTGAGCGAAAGAGAGAAAGAAAAGGAAAGAGATACGACCTCTGCCGTGTGCAAATGAAGGCGAGACAAACAAGGAGAGATAGGTAGAGGATATAAGGAGCGGTAGGAGGCGACCACCGTGATACGTACACGCCGGCTGCCGGGCATTCTCGGCTGCGTGGCATCCTTCCCCTACATCGGAAAGGGGAGGCAGCTCTGTGCAGGTGCCATAAGATTCTGTCTTTGCGTTTTCTTCTGCATCCTCAGCACTTCTTATCACTGACGAGAACACGGTGGAAAGGAGTCTTTCCTACAAGAGGGGGGGAGCCCGTCAGGCTTGTGCATTACGCCCCCCCCCCCCCACACACACACACACACACA